CCATGCGATACCCTGCCAGCAAGTTTAATGAAAATGGGGTCGCTAGATTTTCAATAATCCTGCTGACAAGCAAACAAACAATCCTTAAAAAGATATCCTCCATGTAAGAATTTCAAACGATACAGACAAAAGTCATGTGACAGAAAGCATACCAGCAAGTCCTTCATCTACTGTGTTACTTTAGTATCAGTTAACTTCGAGGTGAACAATCTTGTTTTCATTGGCAATGACTCCAAGTGAAGCAAAATGTGTCGCTTACATTTAAACTGCAGAAGGAACTCAAAGCTTTGATTTCAAAGGACATTTTGGAGATGCATGTTCTGAGAAGATGTTCAAGTTAACACGTACATTTTGTCTTAACACATCACCTCTGTGTTTTTGTATGCTTGCACTGACCTTCTCCAAATTCACTGCAAACACTACTGGTGTTTAACATTTTAATGTGATTTAGATTCAAAGGAGAAAGCGTTACTAGATCATTCTAGTTTTACCGCAGTGTGTTGTGAAAGCAGCAGGATGACAACCCGACACCTCACTGTGACTTTGAAAGGGTCCAGTCAACAAGTTGCCAAAATGTTTCTGGTTGCTGCATCAAAGAAGTAGAGAGGAAGGGTGGTTGAGGATAGGGGGGGGGAAACAATTATAAAAGAAAAGCTGAGGAAGAGGAATCTGGAGAAGGACAGGGATTAACATGAGCCAAAGATTGAGGAAAGGAGAAAGTGTAAAATGAGAAAAAACTGGGTGGGAAGGAATAAGAAGACGTCAGATTAGAGAAGGAACAGAGGAGGAGGGAGAGAAATTAAGAAGGGGAGGGAGGAGGAGAGAGTCCAGGCTGTATCTGATTACATAATTGCTCTACAGGATCTGAAACGGGGTCTGCGCAACAAAAATATGCCTCAGAGCACCAGCGTTCGTTATACTGTCACAGAAAGTCCACCGTGACCTTAGAATACACTCAAATCTGCCAAATCACTGCGGGGACTCATCCAAACTAACAAAATGCTCGAAGACCACACAAATCTGTTTATTTACAACCACAGTAAGCTCAAATAGATCCAAATAAGCCAAATCATTGCTGGAATATCAACCCAAAGAGAAAATATAAGGTAAAACTACCAAATATCATAACAAGCAGGTTATTTACAACCACAGTGACCTTAAAATACACCCTGAAATCTGCCAAATCACTGCAGGAACACTGCCAAACTACTAAAAGCTGCACACAGATCCAATTAATCTGGTTATTTACAACCACAGGAGTGGTTTAGTCAATTTTGGGATCAGTTTAAACTACAAAAATAAAGATTTGTGTGCAAACATGCACTCCGAGGTGTTACAAGGAGATTAAAATGCACCACAAAGTATAAGTCACTGCAGTCACTGAGCGTCCCTGTAGAGATAGTACAGGAGCATTGTGGAATATTCTAGTGTTTTTGCTCTGGAGTTGAGGTCAGCAGAAACGACCACGCCTGCATAAACACCATCTTCATCAACTCCATCTCCTGGCTTCAACACATCCACGATGAGAGAGGTAAAAACATAGAGATCTGCTGAGTCCACCAAAACACAAGCAGCAGTGGCGCACTAAATCCAAAACACACACACATCCAAAAACACACACTAACACAACTTCAAAACACGATGGAGAGATTCAGGGTAAAGCAGGGACACACAGCCCGGAGAAGAGGCTCTCTGCTTGGCCTCTTTTGGCACCAACAGCCCCTGATGCACCACCATAATGGTGTGCGGCTTTAATTGGAGGTTTAAACAATCAACACGAGACAACAGCTATCACGCGATTTGGGAGCCACACATACACACAAACACACTCTCTCTCTCACACACACACATGCATGCATGCATGCATACATACATACAGCCGTCGTGGATGTGGATGCTCCCCCCATCCGCACAATGAAACAAAATCCGTGTAGAGGCTGCCTGCGGATGAAGTGAAAACAGGCGGTGAATGGAAGAAGCAGAGGCCGGCTTCACTCACCTGTAGGCCTGGGAGAAGCGCAGAGGAGTCCCGCTCGGAGTGAAGGACGGTGGGGCTGCTTGGAGCGAAAACAACGCAGGAGCACAGAGTCCTCAAATCCACCAATCCTCCTCCTCTTCATCACCCCGCCCCCCCCTCAGCTGCCTCTCTCTCTCAGCCCGGACTGCATCGACGGTGCACTCGGTTTACTCA